CCTCCCCACACCAGACCGCTAGCCTAAGAGCAACAACACACTCTAATCAGGCAGCTCTGGCCACTTACAGACTTGCATCTGTTCCCCCACCTGCAGAATGGAGATAGAAAAGTAACCGCTGTCAGTACTGTGCAGACTGAGATAGTCCCACAGTCGGGGCTACTATTACTGCGATTAGGCTTCATAAAAATTCTAGAGGAAGCTATAAGACCTATTTGGAAGAAGACTGCTGTGAATCCAAGGTGGGTTTAATACATGTGATTTCCCTCCACTAAGCAAGACTTCCGGGTACATAAAAATTTATTAGGGATGATCTTGGAGCTGTTACAACTGGCAAATTCAGAGGGTGAGGGAGGGTCTATTCACCTAGTACTGGAGCAATAGATAAGTAAAACAGACTGGTCCCGTCACTATAGCAAATGATACCTAGTTATGGAAGAGAGTAACCGACTTACTCCAGCCAGAGAGAAAGGAACACATCCAACTCCGGGGTGAAACGCAGTTCTCCAGTCAGAAGTAAAGCCAAAGACTAGATTTCTAGGATGGGAAAACGTCCTGAAGGGAGCTCAGGAAGGCCGACTGCCTCCACCTCCAGCTACTGATCTGCTCTAATCTAAAAGAAGCCTGCAGTCTTTGGATCTGTGCCAGACTTGAGCAGGGGCTCTCAACCTTCCAGCCTGCACCCTTTAACACAGTTCCTCCTGCTGTGGTGACCCCCAACCAACCATAAAATTGTTTTTATTGCTACTTCATAACTGTAATTTTCCTACTGTTATGAATCATAATGTAAATATGTTTTTGTACAGAGAGGTTTGCCAAAGGGGCTGTGACCCACTGCTTTAACGCGCTCAATGACTGTAGCCACAAAGCTGAACTGGGGTGATGGGGAGAATTTCTGACTTGATTGGGCGGACTGGTTACTACTGATGGAATGAAGAAGTGCCACTTAAGTCCCCCTCCCCGTCCCATCTGGTGGATAGCAGTAACACCACCCAGTCCTCTAAAGAACTTTACCAGCTCAGAGCAGAGAGCAGAGGGCACGGTGACTATTCACCTGCCACAACAAGTACTTGCTTCCTCTTAAATAGCCTCGGCCAAAACCACCTCTAGGGGTGGGGACTATCTCAACTCAGTGGAGAAAACAGCACTCCAAAGATCACAGCACACACCTTTCCGCCAAAGCAGCAAGCCCAGAAAATGAGGTACAGTAACAAGAAGCAGGCTCCTTAAAGTTAGACTCAAAATTCAGGTCCACGGAATAATAATGTGGGTTCACAGTCTGGGGGCAGGGGTGAGGGAGGAAAGGCCCAGCAATTAGCCTGTTAAGTAATGAGGATTAATAGGCAACCAGACAGTAACAGGCCATGCTGGGCAGAGTCAACCTCCCTAACTGCGATTATTTCCACTAGAATCACCCACTGTCCTTGGACTGGGCCAGAAGCACTGGCCGCATCACTGTGGTTAAGGGAATGTGGCTCAAGCAGGAACTTTTAGCTTGACCTGCAAAAAATGGTTTGCTCTGGTCTGCTTAAAGTCCAAGCCATTATTTCAGCAAAGCAGAAGTGGAGTAGTCGTTAGCTGCTGGCTGCTGTTCCGGGAGACTCTTGGCCACTGAACTCCTCAAATGGAATTACCAGATCTGAAAGAGTTAGCAGGGTGGCCCAGAAGCGGCAGAACCGAACACCTCCGGCAGTCTGCTAGTCAACTTCGTTTTCAGCTTAACAGATGTGCTCCTGTTTACCTCCAAAACGAACACTAAAACTCCCAGCCCAACTTTTGCAAAAGCCCGTCGGCCTGAAGCGGAGGAAAAGTTTCCGCCAAGCTGTGCAATCAATTACACCTAAGAGAACAGTAGACGCTGGTGCTCAATTACAGCTAGCGCAACTCCAAATTAATTAAGAATTTTAAACTCGGTCCCAGAGCTGCTTTCTCCTTAATGATGTTCAATGAAGCCCAGGGTGACTCTCCTTTCGGTAATTAAGCACAAATTCCCTGACAGGGTCAGCTCCCTCCAGGTGCGAAGCGGGGAACGTGGCGGGAACACAGTAAAGTGCCCTCCCCTCCACCTGAGTCAAGAAGGCTCGGATGCCCCCCGACTCAGCACCTTGATTTCCTCGGAGTGGAAGATGTCGGCGTCTTCGGGGCTGTCCATCAGGATCTTGGGCCTGTCCCCATCCTTGGCGCCCCCCGAGCTGTCCCTCCGCGCCGTCTTATGGCCGCCCTGCCGCTCCAGCGCGGCGCGCTCGCTGCTCGTGTTGCCCATGGCGGGGGTCTGCGGGGACACAGGGAAGAGGGAAGGGACGGGCCGGGACCCCCGGGACCGGCCACGGACCACGCCCCTCCGGCGGCGCGCGCTCGCCCGTCGAGCCCCGCTTTACCTGCTCGGGCAGCCGCGGCTAGAACTCCGACGAGAGCGGGAGCGTAACCTGACACTTCTCGGGCAACTTCTCCCACCCCTTAGCAACTTCCGCTTCCGGCCGGGCCCAGCGAAGGAAGGGTGGTCACTGGGGACGGAGCGCTCGAGGCTAGCACGGCATCACTTCCGTTTCCGTTTCGGGAGAGTCCGCTCGCCCGCGGCCTCTGGCCGCTCAGTGCGCAGTCGCAGTGGATCGTCGCGGGCAGCTCCTGGGACGAGCTTAGTGGCGGCAAGCAGGAGGCGCTCGCGTGCCCCCTTCACGTTCCCGACTGAGCGAGGATGCTATTGACTGTGCCGCCCACCTCGTCCCCAAGTTTGTGCACTCACCAGTTAATGGGGTCCTTGTAAAGGGCGAATCGTATTAAGAAACCATGAGCTGGAGAGATGGGAAGGCCGTTGGGGCGCTTTTCTTTTTTGAGTATCCGGGTTCGATTCCGGGCGCACAAACTCTTCGCTGACCTCGGTGGATTCCCCAGCGCGCAAGTGGTGCCCATACCCGTGCGAACAGAGCACTCATCCACTTCATCTTAAAACAAAACGATCCCCACCTCCCCCCAAAAAACCACGTTTGGGTCTCCCCTTAGATGCAGTGGCTCTAACTTTAGCGTGGATTAGAATAACCTAGTGCTCCTTCAACTGCTCAGCGGCCTCTTGGGATCTGCCAAGTCAGAATTTCTGTAGACTAAGGTGGGGAATGCAGATTATCTGACTGGTGTTTGAGAAAAATGTCAGACCTTAAGATTTCTGGGAAGTTTTTTTCTGTAGATGCTTTGGAGGCTTAAAAACACTGGCCTTATCAGTGAGTTTTTGTTGGTGTTTAAGTTGCGAGTACTGCCTTTTGATAGGGGCCTTGGAATTATTTTGAACACTTTATGCATAAAACGTGTTAGTGTTTGGTGCTTCAGTAGAAGACCCTTTGACTAAAATGTTATCACCTGCCACCCTGTCAGTCAGTTTTAAAAAACATTGTCATGTGTGTTTTTTTTTAAATGCATTGAATTTGCTAGCCCATGTCTTTCATTTCATCCACTGAACATTTATTTAGAATTATTTTTGTATTATCTGCAACATGAGACATTTTTGTTAAGGGAACCAGAGACCCTGATGACTGATATATGGTCTTTTAGAGGGAATTGGGCAGTATCTATGTAAAAAAATGAATCTTTATTCTTATGGACAATTTTATTTCTAGTGAATTATTATAAAAATTCACACACAAAACTTATGTACAGGCATGCTTTTTTGAAGCATTGATTCTAATTATTATACTAATTCTAAGATGCGTATTATAAGACATTTTATCGCTCTGAAATTGGATGCTTCTAGCCATAAAAGAGCCTTAGATTTGATGAAACGGAGGAATTAAAAAACCCCAGAAGTATTTCGGTGCAAGAATGGCTAATGGCATTTTATGGAATATTGAAAGAACGTTAAAAAAAAAAAAAAAGAAAAAAAGAAAAAAGCCGATGACTGGATGTAGTGGGTAGCGGGACACCCCTGAAATCCTAGCACTACCAGTGAGGCTTCCGGGAGGGAGGTCATGAGTTCGAGGCCAGTTTGGGCTACACAGTGGTAGTTAATCTCAAAAATGGGTATATGTGGGAGGGGGAGGGGGGCCTCAGGATGGTCCAGTAAAGGTACTTGCCTTGCCAGTGTGGCAACTTGAGTTCTACCCCCAGAGTTCTATAAGTTGTCCTCTGACCTCCACACATGTGTTGTGGTACTGCACCCACATGCTGGTGAACACACACACACACACACACACACACTTTATTTTATGCTTAAAGAAAAACAGAATTGTGTGGGTGAGTATGAAGACATCAGAACATTCCGAATTCCAAAACCGAGTGACACAATAACAGTCGGGCATGGGCTCTGAGGTCAGCCTACCTGGGTTCAGATTCTGATCTTACCGTCTAGTAAGTTCCACTGTGGCTTTATTGGGAAATGGACACAAAAAATAGCGCCGATCTTACATGCCTGTTTTGTGACTCACGTAAGAGCAGTCGTGGGAAGTGGTCAGCATCTGACTCTAGAACACACTCAGTGATTAGTACTGTTATTAGTGCATCATCCTTGAAGATGGAGAGTTCTGGAAGGATTGTCTTCTGGGTGAGAGGTGAGATCGTAACAGGAAAAAACAGAAGGAAGACGTTTGCTTTTTAGCTTATGTGTTTATATAGTTTTTTTTTCTGCCCAACTTATTGAGCAACAATAAGTAAGATATGCTCCAATTCCAAAGGAATACAACATGGAAGGGGAGGGGCCACAGGAAGGCAAAGGTGCAGGTAGGCAAGGGAAGGGCTGAGGGCCAGAGAGGATTTTCTGGAACTAATGACCAACAGCCTAAATTTACTCAGTGGAGTCAGAACTGTTGAATGTGCCTCCTGAACTTAGTAAGCCAGGCTGGAACAGATGACCCGTTTTTCTAACTGTGATTCCAACGTCCTCACATGGCAGCAAGGAGCCCAGGGGCTGTGGGTTCTTTTCTGAAACAACTGGACAGCTGAGACTAGGCCAGAGCTGATGGAGGTGCCTGTCTGAGCACGGCAGATGCTCCCATGTGCCAGGAAGGCCTCTGCTCTTATTCAGATAACAGTGAAAGCACAATCTCATGCTTTCTAAGCCAGACGCCACGTGTCAGCGCTGTCCAGTTGTCAATGAGGTGGTCCAGTTCCCGGGGTTGCACAGATGAGCCCTGTTCAGGGATGCCTGCTGCAGAAGGTAAGTGGATGCTGAGAGTCTGGCTAAGTCCTTTTCTCAGGACTGCGTTGTCTGAGGGAAAGGGCATGTCTTTCTTATTTGTATACATATACCTCAGAGGCCAGCCGCTAGCCTCTTTCCAGCAGGAACAATCAACCCGAGAATCAGGGATTGGCTGGAGAGATGGCTCAGCGAGTAAAGGCATTTGCAGCCAAGCCTGATGACCTGACCTCAATCCCCAGTTGATAAACCAACTCCCAACAGCTGATAAATAATTTTTAAAGCATTCTCTGCCAAAAATATGGTGCTAGTAATTAAATTCCAGGAAATCACACTACGATTTGTAAGAGACATATTTTAGTCATTATGGACCTCAGAATATTTGAAGACTCAGTTTGTCTGCTTGTCCTTGCATCCTTTGAAGGCATTGGATGGATGTGCAACAACCTTAGAAGACAGATTTGAGATAGTCTAAAATAATACTTTATTATACCCTCAAAACTGACTTCAACGTACGCCCCAGGAGACCTCAGAGAGATGAAGTTGAGGACCAGAGGTCTGGGTCACTAATGATGGGAATCTTGCTTTATTATATTACATTTCATGAACAGGAGAACTAACATTTGTATCAGCTGCTGGCCCGTGTGGAAAGTCCAGGTAGGGTGGACTCTCCATTTATAGATGTCTACTTCGCGTCTCTGTTGGGTCACTTTTGGTGGAACTTCTTTTTTTTTTTAATTTTATTGAGCTCTACATTTTTCTCTGCTTCCCTCCCTGCCTCTCCCCTCTCCTTCAACCCTCTCCCAAGGTCCCCATGCTCCAAATTTACTAAGGAGATCTTGTCTTTTTCTACTTCCCATGTAGATTAGATCCATGTATGTCTCTCTTAGGGTCCTCATTGTTTTCTAGGTTCTCTGGGATTGTGATTTGTAGGCTGGTTTTCTTTGCTTTATGTTTATAAACCATTTATAAATAAAGTGAGTACATGTGATAATTGTCTTTCTGTGTCTGGGTTACTTCACTCAAAATGATGTTTTCTAGCTCCATCCATTTGGTGGCACTTGTTTTTATTTATGGTACTGGAGATCAAATCTGTGACTTTGTGCATGCCAGACAAGGCTCTGTGCCCAAGCTCAACATGTTACTTATCCTTTTCTTCTCTCTCTCTCTCTCTCTCTCTCTCTCTCTCTTTCTCTCTCTCTCTCTTCCTTCCTGTTCTTTTCTTTTCTTTTTTTTAAAGTCACTTGTCAATATATAGTATCAAAATAGTTGCATTGTAGGGTTCTCTTTCTCTCAATTGGTTCCAAAGGGACCTCAACCAAAGTGGACACATTTAAAGCCAATAACCTTCAAGCTCTCCTGACATATATCACAGAAACCTTATCTAAATGTAGCTGTTGGGCCAGGCGGTGGTGGCACACACCTTAGATCCCAGTACTCAGGAGGCGGAGGCAGGCCAGTCTCTGTAAGTTTAAGGTCAGTTTAGTCTACAAAACAAGTTCCAGGACAGCCAGGACTCCATAGAGAGACTGTGTCTCAAAGACCAAAACAAAATGAAAGTGTCTGTTGGGAGCTGGAGAGATGGCTTAGTGGTTAAGATTACTGACTTCCTGAGGACCTGGGTTCAGTTCCCAGTACCAATGTGTCTGCTCACAACCATATGGAACTCTAGTTCTAGAGAATCTGATGCACTCTTCTGTCCCTTATGGACACTGCACACATGTGGTGTGCAGACATACATGCAGACAAAACATCCATACACAGAAAATAAAAATAAATCTTTTTAAAAGGTGGAGATTGAGTGAGAAAAAACAGCACATTGCCTGCTCACAAGCTATAGAGAATCCTCATAAAAAAGATGGGGTTGTAGAATGTTATTTTAAGTTGTATTACTTTTGTTTATAGTCTGGAACATTTGTTTTATGATGTAAAGATGTGTTTAATTAAATAAAATTGACCTATAATCAGGAAGCTGAGTCAGCAACTAGCTGGATTTACTAAAATAGGATAGATTATGGAGTATTTTCTTTAAATTTACCAGACACAATGAATTGGAATTCAGTACACTGTGAATGTAATCGTTACTTGATAATTGTTCTTAATATGTACAGTCTTACTATGTTAAAGTTAAAACTTTTCATTTTTGTTTAGAAAGAAAAAAGGAAATGTTGGGGAATATTATTTTAAGATGTGTTACTTTTGTTTATGCGGTGGAACATTGGTTTAATGATGCAAAGGTGTGTGACTTTTGTTAACGCTGCATTTGCTTAACTCTGAAGCTGTGATTCTTTGCCTGTCTAGAACACCTGATGGTCTGATAAAAAGCTGAATGGCCAATAGTGAGGCAGGAGCAAGGACAGGCGGGGCTGGCGGGCAGAGGGGATAAATTGAAGGAGAAATGAGGAAAAGAGCAACAAGAGAATAAGGGGAGCAGGATGCTCGGGGCCAGCCCCCCAGCCCCCCAGCCCCCCAGCCTCCCAGCCTCCCAGCCCCTTAGCCCCCTAGCCAGCCATAACAAGCTATGGAGAAAGAGTGGGCATAAGGTTACAGAAGTAGGAGAAAGATAAAAGCCCAGGGGCAAAAGATAGATGGAATAATTTAAAAAAAGCTGGCAAGAAACAAGCTAAGCTAAGATCAGGCATTCATAACTAAGAAAGTGTAAGCCTCCATATGGTTCATTTAGGAACTAGGTAGCGGGCCCTCCCAAAAGACTAAAGAGGTGAAAAAGTAAAATGTCCCACTCCATGGGGTGGCCAGGGTACCACGGTCCTCTATAGTGTAAATTTTCAAAATAATTTTTTTTAAAGTTTTGTGCAAATGTTATTCAAAATTTTTCCAGTGATGACCAATGCAAGACAAAACAAGGCAGTGCTTGGAAGTGCAGCTTCAGACTACTGAGTTGATGTCACATGACTGAACCAAGACCAGCCAGAAGACTAAAGCGTGGCCTCATTGTTCAGTGCTGTTTCCTGTTTTGTGAGGAGAGGGTAGAGTTGGATGAGTTTGGTCCAGGAGTGAGCAATGGGAGTGCTTGCCTGCTGTGCCCTGGGGTAGGGAGTACAGCTTTTGGTGGGGCACTGTTTCAATGTGGTCACTTTTATGAAAAAAGTAAAAGTTGTCTGGGGCTGGAGTGATGGTCCAGGGGTTAAGAGCACTCCCTGCTCTATAAGAAGACCAGAGTTCGCTTCCCAAGCATCCATGGAGGGCTGCTCACAACTACCTGTAACTCTAGTTCTGGGGGGTTGGACATCCTCCATTGGCCTCCTTGGGAGCGCACACACACACACACACACACACACACACACACACACACACACTTTTAAGAACTACAAAGTAGTTGTCTAAAGAGAGCTGAAGCTGCAAACCTCAGCAGTGGATTTTTGTTTTTTTTCTAATGTCTTAGCTGACCCCTCCTAGGACCCTTTCTGCTTTGGCTGTTACTTTGTACAAAACAATGAGGCTTTATGCAATGAGGTCTGTTCCTGAGCTGTGTTTGGCTCTCAGCAAGGGGGCATGTACTTGTTTTCCTCCCTCATGTCCGTATTGAGATGAGAAGTTACCCTCCAAAAGAAAGGATTAGAGTGGGCTTCAGAGCTGCCCAAGTGCTTGGGGTGGTTTGCAAATGGTTGCTGTGGTAGTTTGAAACTATAATCTCAAAAACTCTTTTGGGAGGTGTGGCTTTGTTGGAGGAAGTGTGTCATTACTGTTGCGGCAGGCTCTGAGGTCTCATATATGCTCAAGCCACATCCAGTGTCTCAGACCACTTCCTGTTCCTTGCGAGCCAAGATGTAGGACACTTGGCTACTTCTCCAGCACCGTGTCTGCCTGTGTGCCACCATATCACACCGTGATGATAATGGACTAACCCTCTAAAAATGTAAGCCTCCCCAGTTAAATGTTTTTCCTTTATAATAGTTGCTGTGGTCGTTGTGTCTCTTCACAGCAACAGAAACCCTAAGACAGTTGCCAAGACAACAGAAAGTACAAAGTGTGTAGACTGCTTTTAAAGATTCTCCCCATGGTCCTTCTGAGGATGTAATGTCAGAACCCAGCAGCCTTCCCCGCTCACAGGTACCCACAGGCAGCCTACAGAAACCTGTGAGTCCCTGACTAACAGACTTCCAGTCGCCAGTGTCTCTCCCATGGGAAGTGAGTTTATTCAGTTTTGAATCTCTGGTTGGTGGGAATCCACTGCTGCTGATGTCACAAGCCAATCAAACTGAACTAATAAATCCAGGTTTAATCTGAGTAAAGCCTCCCTAGGTGGCCCCAGGGGATGATGGGAGAACCTCGAGGGGACCCATGAGGTGGGGGCTTTTAATGCCCTCTGGGGGTGGAGCCACTGATGGGCTTTTTCAGGGGTGGAGTAATGCCCCCAGGGGATGGAGCCTGGATTGAGGCAACTCCAGGGGAGGTTGCTTGGCAACCTGAGGGCAGGGTTTGGAATAAACCCAAACTGGAGCTTCCACACATCCCAAATTTGGGGGGTAGATATAGACGCCAGTAGGGCTTCTACCTAAACATTTATATAAAGGTGAGCACACACCCTGTCCCCCCTGGCCCCAGTCCTGCTTGGGAGTCAGAGAGCGTGAATGCAGGCTTGTGCTGTGAAAGCCCCCCCGCCCTCCTCAGAGAGGTGTAAAGAGAGATTTCTGTCACGCAGCCACACTGTCTCTGCTGCTGGGACTGAGCGCTCCTCTGAGGCCCCAACATGCCCCTGCCACTCTTTCCATGGTGTCAATAACTCTTCTAATGCATGCCTGCTCCCCAGTAACCCATCTCTGGGCCTCTCTTCAACCTCCCTCCCTCAAATAAAATCCTCCCTGTGCGGTGCCACGGCGCTCCGGGCCAGCTATCCAGTCACGGAAGTGGTCCCAACACAAAATTGTTACACTCATGAAAAGTCGTTAGCATTTGACCCTAGAAAACAATCGGTGACTAGCACTTCACCGTCATTCTTGAGGATGGAAAGTTCTGGAAGGATACATAACAAGTGCTGTTGATGAATATGGAGACTGCTGAACAGTGGGGTCACGTGTTTTGAAGTGTGTGTGTGTGTGTGTGTGTGTGTGTGTGTGTGTGTGTTGTGTGTGCATATGTAATGGGTTTCTGTCCCGGTGGAGGCCACCGGGGCATCCTGCTCCGTCACTCTTTGCTTTAATTCCCTGGAGACGGGAAGCCTGAGGTAGACTGGCAACCAGCAATCCCTCACCTTCCTCCTGTTTCTGCCAGCACCAGTTCATCTTCAGTCCTTCACTGTCCCCTCCAGCTTTGTCGCGCGTTTGTCTTCCATAATACTGGACATGAGATGACTTTATCTGCATTCTGTATTCCTGAGGAACAGCTGTGTGAATGGCCGTCTCTGCGCCACTCTCGGGCCGTTCCAGGCTAGAGTCAAAGCAGTGAGACCGAAAACCACCGCCGCGATCAGCCAAAAGTCCAGTTCGAAAGCGTCCGCCTGTACCACAGTGATTTTCAGGGGTGACCCCAGGTGGGCAGATGAGACCCCCCACCACCACCGTGGTTCCTCTGCATGTTTGATCTGGCAAATAGTTACACCTAATAGTCAACAGCTGATCCCGTGGAGCGGGCTCCCAGCACTGACAGCAAAACTATCGAGGCTGATTACGTTTTACTGTTGCTTCTGTCTGGGGTTCAACCCCACGTGTAAACATGCATTGGACCGCCCATCAGCCCACACGTCTAGCCTCCTGTTGCTTCTTTCCCATTTTGTTTGCCCTCTGAGAGAAGTCATCGCCATCTTGGGACATTCCACTGCACCTCTTGGCAGATCATCCCAGCTGGGCTTGTTGTTTACGTATAGGGGCGGGGTGGGGCACAGGTGTCCTTGTTGGCACTGTTCAGGTTCCACCCACCTGCTGTAGGCAGCCCAGCTTCATTGCATGTGACCGGGGAGGGGGCTGTGTGTGTGTGTGTGTGTGTGTGTGTGCGCGTGTGTGTAGGGTCCCTATAGAGGGAAGATTAGGATAGGAAAACTCTTGTCTTTTATGGGTAAAGTCTTTCCAAGTGAGGGCAGTAGAGGAGGGAGGAACAGCCACACCCCTCAGGGACCTCCTCACCTGTGCTCTGTAAGGAAGCCCGGATAAACTCATTGGTTTCTCCGAGTGAGCTTTGGCTGAACTCTGCCTGGATTTGCTGGTGGATTCTTAGGAGAAGAAGTAGATCTTGGTTACATCTCCCCCTGGGAAAGAACTTTGGCAACACAATTCCTTCCAGTGCCACTCAGCAAACAACGTCCTGGAGCGCCTTTTCCCACCGCTTCCCGCTAGAGGGCACCCCGAACTCAAAGGAGGCTTGGGAAAGGCCGCCTAGACAGGAGATTGGTAGGTACTTTATCTTGGAGTCACTTCTTTATGGAGGCAGATTCATTGCCTCCTACTGCCGAGCCGTCGTGAAAGGCGATAAAAAGTGAGTGTGTTCTGAGACAGAATTTTCAGCTAATATTTGGCTTAAAATATAGGTTTTCTGTTGGTTAACAATGGCAAGGTGGCAGAGAAACCTTTGAGTACATTTTCTTCTGTTTCCCCTTCACTCACCCATCCATCTATCCATTCATCCATCCACCCACCCACCCACCCATCCATCCATTCACCCATCCGTCTGTCCGTCCATCCACCCACCCACCCACCCATCCACCCATCCATCCACCCACCCCCCATCCACCCATCCGCCCGCCCATCCATCCATCCATCCATCCATCCATCCATCCATCTATCCATCCAGTGAATGTTCGTGGAAAACCTTTGTGTCAACTCCCAAGTCATCTAGGAATCATCCATGTATCCATCATCCATGTGTTCATCCATGCATCCATCCATCATCCGTGTGTCCATCCATCCGTCCAATGAATGTTCATGAAAAATCTTTATGCCAACTCCTGAGACCTCTGGGACTCAGAGGTGAACATGCTGAGGGTAGGTCCTGTAGGGGAATGTGTTACAATAGTGGTGCTGGGATATTCTGACTTATCGGGAAGCCAGGATGTACTTAGAGCTGCAATAGGACAGCTTGGGGGGGGGGGGGGGGGGGGCAGGTAGAGCCGCAATAGGGCAGCTCTTGGGGGAGAGGGGTAGAGCCACAATAGGACAACTCTAGAGGCTGGAGCTGCAATAGGACAGCTCAGCCCTGGAGGGAAGGTGTTCTTACTATTAGGAAGCCAGGCTACCTGTAGCTGGTGGGGGATGGTCTCCCGGCAGGGTATAGGGATCTTGCTCTTCTGGAGATCCGCTACAGCTGAGTTCTGCTCTGTTCCCGACGTCCTAGCAGAGCTGTCTGCTTTTCCAACCCAAGATGTTCCTTCTGCTAACACTTCTGCTAAAGGGAAGCCCCCTGCAGAAACGTAGCAATCTTCTCTGGCTCCTTCGAAAAGTTGTTACAGAAGTTGGTACCAGCATGGTAGGTTATTGCAGTGACAGACCTGACCATGTTTTGGGGAGAATTGTGGAAGGACTTTAAAACCCTAGGCTAGAAAAACCTCTGAAGCTGAGAGCTCAGCGGGCTGTTCTGTAGCGGCTTGGAAGATCAGAATGCTGCCAACAGTGCATTCAATGAAGACCTGGCTGGTGAAGTTTCAGAGGGAAACAAAGACTCTTCTGGGATGTTTGTGTAAAGAAGCTGAGGTATCTGGTCAGCTGGAGCTGAAGAGTCTGCTGTGATTAGAGACCAGGAGCCCTGAAATAAAACCTTTAAGTTACTGGGACAGCTGAATGCGGGTCAGCTGGAATTGAAAATTAAAAGGCCAGCCTCACTGACGTGAAATCTTCTGGGAAGTGTTTCCTGTTTCCTGAGGGTCAGCACACAGGAGCTGTGTTACAGAGGTGGCTAAGGTTGTACCTCATGTTGGTAGCCAAAGTTTGTAGTATAAGAGTCATCCAGCTGGTACTGGCTTGAAAGCGTGAGGGGTCGTGGAGAAAAGTTGAGGCTTCGCACCATGAAGAGAGCTCAGGAGAGGCTATTGGTGGAAGTGCAGCCCGTTCGCAGAAGACCCCAGCATTTTGGAAATGACAGTACCGTGGAAAGGCCATCAAGAGTGGAAACACACGTGGAATGGAGCCGGCATGAGCCTAGAGGCCAAGCTGTGTGTGCTGCAGAGAACAGAGCCAGAGAAGTGCCCCAAGTCCTTGGAGAAGTCCAGAAGATCGTGAGGGATCCCAGATAATTGCACATTGAGTTCTTTACACTGTTGGGGTTTGGTTTTGCCATATTCAAGAGTGCTGTGCCCTGATTCATCCCCCTTGCAGTGAGAAAGAATTTTCATAGTTTTGATTTTATAATAGCCCACAGTTGAGAAACTTTGTGTTTTAAAAGGAGATTTTGAATTTTAAAAGAGACGATTTTTAAAAACTGAACTTTTAATGTGTTTGAGTTGGTAAAGACCGTGGGACTTTTAAATTTGTAATATGTTTTATATTTGTGATATTTTTATTGATTTTATTGAACTATATATTTTTCTCCCCTCCCCTCCCTTCTCTTCCTCTCCCCTCTTCTATGGTCCCCATGCTCCCAATTTACTCAAGAGATCTTGTCTTTTTCTACCTCCCATGTAGATTAGATCCATGTATGCCTCTCTTAGGGTCCTCATTATTGTCTAGGTTCTCTGGGGTTGTGAATTGTAGGCTCATTTTTCTTTGTTTTATGTCTAAAAACCACTTATGAGTGAGTACATATGATAATTGTCTTTCTGGGTCTGGCTTACCTCACTCGGTATGATGTTTTCTAGCTCTATTTGCCTGCAAATTTTAAGATGTCGTTATTTTTCTCTGCTGTGTAGTATTCCATTGTGTAAATGTATATTTTCCTTACCCATTCTTCAATCGAGGGACATTTAGGTTGTTTCCAGGTTCTGGCTATGACAAACAAAGCTGCTATGAACATAGTTGAGCACATGTCCTTGTGGCACAATTGAGCATCCTTTGGATATATACCCAAAAGTGATATTACTGGGTCTTGAGGAAGGTTGTTTCCTAATTTTCTGAGAAATCACCACACTGGCATCCAAAGGGGCTGTGCCAGCTTGCATTCCCAGCAGCAATGCAGAAGTGTTCCCTTTAACCCACAACCTCTCCAGCATAAGTTGTCATTAGTGTTTTTGATCTTGGCCATTCTTACAGGTGTAAGATGGAATCTAAGAGTTTTATATTTGTTTAAATATGTTTTATATTGGTGATCTTTTAAAATATGAGATCTTGGGGATGACCCCCTAAAAAAATAAGAAACAAAAAGGTTACTTCTTAGAGTGCCGCGTGTCAGGTTGACAAAGAGCCAATGGTGCAGCCAGTTTCATGTCAGCTCACAAAAATTAGAGTCATCTGAGAGGAAGACCCCAACTCCCCAACTGAGAAAATGTGTCTGTGAGATGGGGCCCGTAGGCAAGCCTGTAGAGCATTTCTCAATCAGCGAAGGACGGGAGGGGCCGGTGACTGGGCTTCCACCAAGACCCAGTGGGCAGAGGGGGTTCTTGAAGAGCTGTTCAGGGAAGGTGTCTAAGGAAAACTGCCCAGCAAAGTTCATCTCTGTGGCCAACATCTGAGAAATAGGGAGCAGTTAAAAGGGGTTCTGTCTGTCTGGGCTCAGGGTTTCAGGGGCTCAGCCCACAGCCCTTGGCTCTGCCGAAACAGGGTTATTATCTGTTAAGTTACTAGGGCCATAGATGGCAATATAAAAGTCAGCAGAAAAGCTAGCTATATGAAACCTGGGGACTGGCATTGGGGCAGAGGGAGCAGCATATACAAAGACTGGGAGGCAGGCAGGAAGGAGTCAGAAGGTGAGGAGCGGGCTTTAGGAGAGGGAGGATGGAAGGGACAGCAGAAGAGGAGCCAAGAGACTGACCACTAAGACTTTGCAGGAATCCTACCTTGGTGACACTTCGGACTCCTGATACCCAGAATCAAAGGATGGTAACTTTGTGTGGAGTCACTGCCTTTTGTTTAGTTTTCTTGTCACTGTGGCAAAAAAATACTGGGTAGAAACCACCTAAGGAGGTGGGATTCATTTGAAGAGTTCAAAGCATAATTGTTTGGCTTTGGGACTTGGGCACAACATCATGATGACGGGAGCACGTCAAAGGGGAGCTGCTTGCTTACTGCATGGCTGAGGAGGGACCGCCTTATGGGATGAGGTCACCCGCACTCAGGCGAGCTTGCTCCTGTCAGCTCATCATCTCTGGGAACACAGAAACACTCTCCCAACACCCCGAACGGCCTGGCTCTCCAGTCTCCTGGGTGATTCTAAATGGCGGTGAAGATCAGCATCAATGCTTGGAGTTTATTTGTGCATTGATTTATTTCTATTTATTTGAGACAGGGTCTCACTGTGTAACCCCAGTTGGCCTGGATCTTAGATCCACCTGCGTCTGCCTCCTGAGTGCT